GAACCAAATCAGGACAGAATAAACGAACGGAAGACAATGAAGCTCTTCGGAACAACAGCTGCCTCACTTGTGGGTACAAGGGTTTCGAGCAGGCTTTCCTCACCGGTTTTCTACCGACACGATCAGCCGCAAGAGGTAGCAACTTACAAATACGTGCCAGCTTACAGGCCCACCAACGAGTATATCGCTCCAAAAAGCATGCCATTCACCTTGCATGTGTACAACATTCCCAGAAGCATCAGCAGGAAGTTATTTTTGGACCTGGTGAGCAAACGGGTCAATGAGCCGATATTCCACTGTAATTTTGTGAATGACCGGGAAAGAAATGTATTTTTAGGTGTGGCATATGTGAGGTTCAAGGATGAAGAGAGCGGCAAGAGGGCCATGAAGGCATTGGACGGTATGCAGATTGGCGATTTGATAATTGGCGCCAATGTTGCCAAGAGACAGTACTAGTTAGGGTTTGAGATGACGATGTATTGTTATGTGACCAATTGATGTTAATTAAATACCACATATGATAATCACTTCTTGTATCTTTTGATGTATGACTGCAGGTATGCATCTAGCAGACTTAATACTCACATACATGTGTTAGATGTTAGGGCTGTCGGTCGATGGTAAGATTCTTTATCAGAACGTAATCGGTGCATCTGTGTTGTTACGATTCAATATCATAAATATGCGGAAAATATCGTGCAGTGGTTGTTGGTTAAAGAGTTGACATCGCTCAGACATGTGCACATGAATGGGCGAATATAGCATCAAATAAATTCTATGATAGAACAGCTATTGTATTTGACAACTCCGTGTCATTATCTAAAAAAGAGATTTCAGATCCTAGTGATGGGATAGAAGTCCCTTGTTGTTACATAATTGATAATGAATGCGAAGGAACATAAGAAGCGAAGATTAGCTTCTTGAGCAGTATATGGGTTAGAGGGTTATTAGGAGTGCGCACTTCTGCAGCAATGCCATTTGATATTCGAAAAGCAGCGTGTATCGTGAATAATATAGGTCAAGAGTTGAATTCACTGTACAAACGTATTCTTGCAGCAAAACAATTTTTTGCCGATGTATTTTACTCTTCTGCCGTAGTCAAGGAAGAAAGATGATGCATTGAATGCGTTGTTTGTGGAGATGA